TTCCTGCTGTTGGGTGTGGCCTATTATGCTAATGAGTTCCTGCTGGGCTTTTTCTACAAAAAGAGCCCTGATAATTACAATAATTGCAGCTTTGTTGTTATTGAGGTCATTTACAAAAAGGGAAGATCAAATTGACCACCAAGAAGTGGGGAGAAACAGATAAAACGTTTTCACCCTTCTACAACTCATTCCTGTCGTCTTAATGAAAGAGGTAATAAAAGTGAAAATATTCAGCGTCGTCTTTCCTTTGAGAGGTAATTTAAATAAGCGATAATCTCACACTATCTCTAAAACACAGCTATTGTTGGTAATCTGCAAAGACATTTAGATGAGGTGGATATTATTCTGAAATTTTTCCATTTTTGTGTAATTATAGGAGATTTGTTTTCGTAGGTTCTCCAGATATCTAGCCATTTATCTTGGGTGAGTTCTGTGAAACTAACCCAAGATAATCCCAAGGTAACTTTGGAAGAAGGGATACAGAAGTTTCTGTGGAGAAGCTTAAATGGGCTTCTCTGTAGTTTGATGTGTGCAAAACATGCCGGAAATGGCGGAATCTATCCTGAGCTTTCGGGAGACAGTGGGATATTTTTTAACAGTCTAAAGCAAATCAGAACATGTTTTACATGGACACCCTCTGGTTTTCTGTCTTCTACAGAATGACTTTAAAAAAACTGCACAGAGGAGCCCGTTCAGCACATTCTATTCATGCTCAGTATAAATAAATAAGATTTTTTAAAAAGTTTTGGCCTAGAATGAGTGTGCATTTGGACCCTTTGCAGAGGATGAAGGTTGGGTTTTAGTGGAGGGGTGGGGGAAAGGGAAAAAGAGGAAGGAAGGAGAGGTCTGCCTCAGAATCTTGGCTTGGCCGGCGTCGGTTTCCTTCAACACTGGCTGGCCCACAGCGAAACCGCTCAGAGTGGCAGAGAGACCGGAGGAGAGGCCGCTTGTTAACTTCTTCCCTGCTGCTGGACCAGGAGAGAGACTCCTCCAAGCTGAGATTTGGGAACGATGTTCTCCACATGGGCTCTGCTTTTTCTTTTAATGCTGAGTAAGCCAGCACTGGGTAAGTGTTTTCATCGTTTTCGGAAGGCAATGGTGTAGAAGCGGCTGTCTTGAAAAGAGAAAAGAGGAAGAAACAGGTTTTAAAATATGCTGATGCTGGGTCTTGAAAAGCCAAGTTCCATTGCAGCAAAGTCCGGTGCAGGCAACTAGCCCTATTTCAACTGCGATTGTGCTTTGAGTAGCCATTTAATTGCTTCCAGGGCTTACCAAAAACACACAATACGTCGCGCTGTTGCCAAAGGGGCACTGAGAAGATGGCATAGTGGTTGTGATCAGTGTTCCCTCTAAGCTGAGTTAGTGTGAGCCAGCTCACAGTTTTTTAGCCTCCGGCTCACAGATATTTGTCTTAGCTCAGGAAGGAGGGCTCCAGAGCCAACTAAGTTTTGCAGCAGCCAAATCGCTCGCTCACAACTTTAACGCCCGTAGCTCACAAAGCAGAATTTTTGCTCACGAGACTCCACCGCTTAGAGGGAGCATTGGTTGTGATGCCAACCCCCCATTGTGAATACCACTGTGGCTTTCCCGAACAACATTCCACCAGGGGAAACTTAGGAAACAGTAACAAAAAAAATCTCGCAAACTGATTTTTATTTCCCCCCTCTCTTGTTTAACAATGCTTCCTTTCTAGCTTTCTTGTATGTGGAAAGGGAGTAGAGAAGGAAAATGTTTTGCAGAAAGCTGGATCTTTGATTTAGTATGTGTGTAATTTTTTAAAGGGAAAAATACGGTCTTGTGTCAGGCTAGGCAAGGGCAAAATCCAGCCAGAGGGACACATGATTAAGGCTGCTGTTCTACGCTGTCTTCTTTGGGAATCAATGTGGCATTTAATGTTCTGGGTCTTACATCTGGAGGAACCTGCCTTGGGGGAGTTGTTCACAAACCTTATCTTTCATGCTGAAATTAATAGGACATAAGTGTCAAACTTGCTATGCCTTTTATGGCTCATTTGTCATGGCAACTGAGAGGGGAGTGTGGGAGAGTGTGAAACTGAAATGCTTTTGCCGGGTTGCTTTGAAGTAGCCTGCTGTCCTTATCAATGCTCCCTCTAAGCTGATTAGATATGGTTAGAGGTCATTCACCTGTGAAGTAAGGAACTATCAGCTATGCAGCCTGCCAGGATATAGGAACAGATGTCCGCTACCCTGGAGTAAAAGCCAGGGGGGGGAAACCCTTAACATGGATGGATGTGTTCTATACAAAGATCGCCAGATGCAGACGTTTGCTCTCTCTTTTTTTATATACCGCTGGAGAAGCCCAATGAAATATATAGGTGAGGCTGGAAACCCATTTTGAACGGCATTTCCTTTGAGTCAGTAGTCAGTCCAAAAGTTTATATTCCCACCCTAACCACAAAACCCATCTTCTGTCAGAACGTTTGTATTTAGGGCTTTCTAATAGTGGGAACCAATCAGGATTTTATCGTGAAGTTACTCCAGGGGAACAGTTCTGATTTAATGGGATGGGATGGGGAGGAGTCAGGTTTTCATGAAGCCAAACACAAATGGAATAAATACTATGGCTTTGGTGGATGAGCGGTCATTTCTTCACTGGTGCAGGATTTGTAGCTCTTGCTCTCTGGTGGGTTTGCTGTGCTGGTCTGAAGCCACAGAACAAAGTTTGGGGCCAGTGGCACCTTTTAAGACCAACAAACTTTGATTCTGGGGATAAGCTTTTGTGTGCATGCTTATCCCCAGAATTAAACTTTGTTGCATGCAGACAAAAGTTTATGCCCAGAATTAAACTTTGTTGGATGCACTTTGTTGCATGCACATGAAAGCTTATAGTAAAGGTAAAGATTTCTCTTGCTCGAAAGCCTGTAGAATCCGACTCGAGGGGGCGGTGCTCATCTCCGTTTCCAAGCCAAAGAGCCAGTGCTGTCCGAAGACATTTCCGTGGTCATGTGGCCGGCATGACTAAATGCCAAAGTGCACGGAACACTGTTACCTTCCCCCCCGAAGTAGTACCTATTTACTTGCAATTTCTTGCTTTCAAACTGCTAGGTTGGCAGGAGCTGGGGCCAGAGATGGGAGCTCACTCCGACACGCGGCACTTGGGTCTCGAACTGCTGAACTACTGACCTTCTGGTCTGCAGTTCAGCGTCTTAACCACTGAGCCACGGCAGCTACTTGAACGTTTATACCCAGAATTAAACTTTGTTGGTCTTAAACGTGGCTGACTGGACTCAAACTTTGCTCTGTTTTAAAAAACGGCTTTATGTTTTAACAGAGGTCATTTCGTGGGGATCGCGGGGGATCGCAGTTCCCCCGGGTGAGGTACGGGGGCAAGGCACATGACGAAGCCCCGCCCCCTGCTTCCGGCTGCCTCGCTTCCGGCCCTCATTCAGCCAGGAGGAGGCAGGAGAAGAGGGAGGGTAAGTTGCTTCCTCCCCGCCTCTCCCCACCCCTGCCTGCCTGGGGCCAGGGAGGGCCTTGGTGGGGCTTCCTCGCACTCCCGCCGGCCTTGCAGGTCCACCGCCGGGCCCCTCATGGGGTTCGGCAGTGGAGCTGCAAGGCCGGCAGCGGCGGCCGGAACCGTTGGGGGTGGGGTGTGTGGCCTTATGACACACTTCCGGTGAAGTCAGGGGGTGTGGCATATGCTGAGTTCCCCTAGCTCTTTTTCTACAAAACGACCCTGCATTTTAAAATGGATAATGGTTATTTTACGTCGATTTCATGCTGCTGCCACCTCAGGATAATCTTTTACTCCAAAAGTCCATATATACATTAAATAACACAACAGACCCTTTTTGGTCTTCCCTTCTCCCTCATTCCCCCCCCCATGAGAAAAAGGCGACTATTCCTTAGGTCAGGGGCTGCTGGGAGATGTAGTCCTTCAGGGATTCCATTAGCCCACATTCGCAGGAGGCGGGGTGGCGGTGGGGGGGGAGATGTGTTTTGTGAGGTCCACAGGTACAATGCTCCCTCTAAGCTGTGGAGTCTTGTGAGCAAAAATTCTACTTTGTGAGCTACTGGCATTAAAATGGGGAGCGAGCAGTTTGGCTGCTGCATCAGTTAGTTTGCTCTGGAGCCCCATCCTTCCTGAGGTGAGATAAAAATGTGGGCGCCAGAGGCTAAAAAACTGTGAGCTAGCACACACTAACTCAGCTGAGAGGGAACATTACACAGGTGTAGTCTGGATGCATTCAAAATAAAACGATGAAACAATAATACCCCAGACAACAGTGTGATCAACATACAGCTCATGGAGTCAGCCCAGGGTTGCCAAGCCCCAGGTGGGACCTGGAGATCTCCAAGAATTACTATGGGGATATAGCAGAGTTTTGCCCAATCCTGGAAGCATGGTACTGAGTGCAGTAAGTGAATCTCCAAAGAAGGATGTTGCAAGAAAGGGTTAACTGACATTTATGCAAGTAGATCCAGCTCACATTCAGGTTGCAGTCGAAAGGAGGGAGAGAAGCCTAACCTAGAGAGGACTTTCCCTCTCACAAATGGCGAGGTTGTGCATGTTGGAGTATGCGGGCATTGTGTCCACATGCATCTCCATGGAAGGCCATGTAAAGAGAGTGAGAGGACATAGGGAGTGAGAGGACAAAAAGAGAGAGGAGGGGTCAGAGGGCAGCCCCCAGGTTATGACAAAGAGAGGCCTCTCATTCAAGGAGATGACACCTAGACACACTTTGAGTGATGTAGCAACCCCCCCGGCCCAGTTTCCAGGCATGCTGAGTCACTGACTCCAACCATTACAACCAGGGGTCATTTCGTAGAAAAAGAGGTGCAGGAGCTCATTAGCATAATTCATTTGCATATGCCACACCCCCTGACATCACTGGAGGTTTTTCAGAAGGCAACACCCAGTGCTCAGGCTCCACTGGACTGTTTTGGATTGCTAGCTATTGTTGGGGGGGGGACGTGCAGATCTCTCCTCACAGAGGAGGGAGAACTTGTACCTGAATAAAACTTGGTCTTAAAGGTGCCACTGGACTGTTTTGGGCCGGGGGGCCGGGGGGGGCGCTCTGCAACTTACCTGCCTGCTTCTTGCTCTGAGTGAGGGCTGCTGGGAGCAGTGGGTGGGGCTTGTTGCATGTGCCCACCCCCTTGGCTCTTTACTGCCGGAGCTCCGCTCCAGTGCGCTCCCGCAGGAAATGACCCCTGATTACAACTGCTCTCCAGACTGCAGAGGTCAGTTCCCCAGGAAGAAATGGCAGCTTCTATGACATCACAACCAGTGTTCCCTCTAAGCTGAGTTAGTGTGAGCCAGCTCACAGTTCTTTAGCCTCCGGCTCACACGTTTTTTTGTCTTCGCTCAGGAAGGGCGGGTCCAGAGCAAACGAATCGATGCCGCAGCCTGCTCACCACTTTAATGCCAGCAGCTCACAAAGTAGAATTTTGGCTCTCAAGACTCCACGGCTTAGAGGGAGCGTCGCAACCCTGCAGAGGTCTCTCCCCTCTCAGAACGCCACCCTCCCCAGACTCCAACCCCAAGTGTCTGGGAGTTTCCCAACCCAGACCTGACAACCCTATGTCGGTCACTGTTTCTGGAGCAAAGCACTTGTAGCATCTGGCCTTTTCCAGAAAATCTGTTAAATGCAGGGTTGCCAGGCAAAGCAGGCAGGCCTGGCAACCAGCGGAGGGACTTATTGGTGGGTTTCAGCAGTGACATCATAATGACATTGCTGGTGACATCACCGCTGTGTTCTTGCGAGTGTTGCTGGGCGACGGCGGGGACTAGGTTTTCTAGGCCCTCCTTGGCTACCAGCAGGCAATTGGGGGGGGTTGCCAGCTCCAGGGTGGGGAACTCCTGGAGATTTGGGGGTGGAGCCTGGAGAGGACAAGGAACCTCAGTGGGGTACAAGGCCACAGAGAGTCCCCCCTCCAAAGCATCCCTTTCCTCCAGGGGAACTGATCTCTGTAGTCTGGAGATGAGCTGTGATTCCGGGGGGTCCCCAGGCCCCACCTGGAGGCTGGCACCCCTACCAGGGACACTCTGGCATTGGGGCAAAACTCAATGTTTAAAACATAGATTTTTGGCCAAATGCCAGTG